CAGCACACGCTCACCCTGCAGTCCCAGCCCTGTCTTCTTGACTCACAAGTCCAGCAGGCTCTGCACTGTACCCTGGAAATTCTTTCAAAGACAAAGATTGGGCAAGGGGAAAGCTTATTACGGTTTCTTATTTCATCAGGATCACCATTTCTCATTGTTTCATATCCAAGAATTTCACATACTTTGTCAGTTTGGGCCTTAGTCCAAGCAGGGAGGTAAACTGAAGCCCATTACTTCCTTTTTCCTGAAAAAAATGAGTTTGACTGGATAGAACAGTGGAGTTTTAATAAATGAACTAGATTAATAAGTAGGTTTATACACAGTGACCTGGATCATGAAATTTCATACTGGGTGAAAAATAATTAAATTTGAAAACAAATATTCTGTCTAAATCCACTTGCATAGTTTGAAAAAACACAAATTTATTGTATATAACAGACTCTACATAAAATTACCAACAGATAGATAGAAAAATCTCAGCCAACAGAAGGATGGTGATTTCTGAAGAGAGAGAAAATGGAATTAGGGTTATGGAATAATAAAATAGGGGCTTGAATTTTATCTGTAATGCCTTATTTAAAATAAAAATAAGACATGAAACAAACAGGTGAACACAGTAGCATATTGGCATTACTGAGAGCTGATGGTTCACTAAAGGAATACTAACTGTATATTTTTACATCTTTAAATCACTTCATAATTTAAACTATCTATCATTTAGGTTACTAGCAGCTTCTGCTGTGAGGAAGAGGCCTTTGAATTCGCCTTGGGGCTCACAACCTACTCCTTACCTTTTGCTCACATTTGCATAACGAAACAGCTCGAGCAGGGGCTCCCTGAGGTAAAAGAAGACACCCTTCTAGGAGGAAAATATCGACAAAATAATTCCGAGGAGAGAAATTATTCTGGGTGACCATTGGTGATAGTTTTTTTAAAATATAGGCAGAGGTCTAAAATTGCAACTGCAAAATGAAAGGAAATGTGTTTTGATATGTATTCATTTATTTAGACTGACCTGTGGGTGTAAATTACAGTGTGTACCGTACTTGTTTCTTGCTTGAGGACTATAGGAATATAGAATCTCAAAACTCAGGAGGATTTGGGGCCCGGGATTTATCTCAGTGGTTCTGCCGCCTGCCTCGAAAGCACAAGGTCCCAAGTTTGATCCTCAGTACCAAAAAAGAAAAACTTAGGAGGATTTGCAGGATTTATATAGTCCATTGTCAGGACTATATAAAAAGGAATTGGATTCACTTAATATCCACTGTGTGACATTTCCTGTTAGTTAATGAATACCACATCCGTGTATTGCTATCGGGATGGTTGCACGACTATCTCACTGAGGCAAGGCAGGGCTGGACCACACCCCTGCCAGCGAGTCTGCTCCTGGGCTGAGATTGCCACTGACAAGTGGAGCAAGAAAAGGCCCACTGAGGGGCAAAAGGAAGGAGCTGCGTGGTTGCCTGGCGGGAGCTTCTGCTACTGTGGCTTGGACTCAGAGACAGAGAGATGCTTTTAAATCTCACTGGTGGATTCAGCTTGCTCCTGCCGTGCAGAATTGAGCCAGAAGCAGGGAGAGGAAGCCGTTCAGCTGCAGGCTCTGAAGGTAAGGTAGGTAGCGTAGCAGATCTAAGCCTTTCTTGTGATATTTTTCCCTCCCATTATCCCCCCACATTTTCTTCAGTCCTGACATTAAAAGTTCCAGCTTGGCCCCGACTATGGCTCAGAGAATTAAGGGCAAGGGCCTTACCCAGGGTCAAGATGGCCCACACAGGAAGCTGTGCTCCCGCTGCATGGGGGTGGCTGGGGTCGTGGGTGTGGGCCAGGGGGACTCTGCAGCAGAGGAAGCAGCTTGGCACCTCACGGAGCACACAGGGGATGGTCAGAGGTCACCTGAGAGCACGAAACACAGTTCCTTGGGATGCTCATCAGTGGAATTTGGAAATCATTGGGGAGAACCACTTCCCAGACCTCCGCTGACCTTAGCCTCTTGTTATTTGTTGCAAATGTGGTTTCATTTTACAGCCATGGGTTGGTGAAGACCTGATATCTGGGTACAGCTCTGCAGACAGATCTAGGAACCCACGTTTGAAAGTTATGACGTGACAGTCCCCTTTGCCACTCCACAGGAGGATACATCAACCTTTGTCTTCCCTGCCACGAAGCAAGCAGATGCGCGCTCCATGGTGTAGAGTTTGCACCACAGCCTGCATTCTGGCCTCCTTCCTTCTCGTCACAAACTGGGACATCTTTTTCTGATGACAGTGTTAGAATGCCAGTGAATGACAGTGTCGCAGTTTCTCACATAGTACTGAATCTGCTCACATTTTTTAGAGAAATGACTTTGATACTGGTAGCCAATGACTTGTGCCATGGCCCACAGTAGACATATCTTCACAGGACACGGAGTGGAGAGGGAAGGAGGAGGAACAGCAACATGGTCTCAGGATGGACTGGAATGGCCAGAGGCTGTGCGGAATAAAGGACAAATTACAAATGCGCTTCCCAGCCAAGGTCTTCTCGGGAAGCAGAGGCCACTCTGGAGATTTCAGGTGACGCGTGATGCAGCACCAGGAATGCTCACACAGCTCCAGGCGAGCTGTGTCTCAACAGCCCATGGCAGGCACTGGAAAGACTAGAAATGGTGAGCAGCCCCTGCTGTCCCCAGAGCAGGGAGGTCACCATGAGGAGGGACCTGGTGGCAGCCAGGGGTCCCAGATGCCTGGTGGAAACTGCATCCCAGCCAGGCACAGCAGGCCAGGGGGCCCTGGGGGTTTCTGGGAGATGGAGCCTGGCTCCTCCTGTCCTGCACACCCATCCCGCCCAAGCTCACCTGGGTCTGCAGGGCTAGGGACCTAGACTGGAGTCCCAGGGGACCAGATGGTGAGCAGAGCACGCCCTGAGAGTAAGCTGTCCAGGTCAGGTGCAGGTGCCCGGTTATGTGAACACTGGGCTCATAGCGGATCCTTTCTCTACATTATTATGACCCATGCAGTACTTGATGTGCAGTTATAGGGAATGCACGTGTTGTTTATCTGAATCCAAACTCAACTGGGCAAGCTGCGTGTTTATGAGGAAACCTGGCAGCCCTTGCCGAGCACAAGTGGGAAAGAGCAGGCACACGAGGTCATGAGTTTTAATCCGGGCTCCAGTGCTCTCTCCTGTCCCAAGCACCAAGCCCGTGAAGGAAAGGAATTTTGCAAAAGACTACAGGTTTATGGCATGAAAACATAAAAATAAGAGAAAGGAGGTAGCTAAGGAGTTAACACAGCAGTCTTCAAAATACTTTGTAGGAAAGATGGAGGGTGGAGGGTCCTGCAGAGGGTGGGCCAGGGGAGCTGGATGGGGATGGGACCATGGGTTTGCACTCAAGAATTCCCAGTACTGAGTTGCGTCCCTGATTGAAGTCTGAAACCAATTAGAGGCAAATATGCTTGGCCTCCAAATTCAATCAGAAGTAAAATAGTGAGGCCTGAGTTTGGAGAATGAGAAAGCACAAGCTTTGCTTGGCATGTCTCGTGACCTTGCCGTGCTGTGGTGGGAACAGGCATGGAAACTGGGAAGGAACCAGGAAGAAGCTGGAGAGGAACCTAGTCACTTCCCGGACCCGGGGGCCTGAGGAGCTCAGAAAAGCGGTGAATGCTGGCACCTATTCTTGGGAGAATTTTATGGAGATGGCTGCTAACTTTGGGGTATTAGTGGGTCTGGTAGCAGACTGGGCCTTCTTTGGGCATATCAGACCCTTCCTTACACACACACACACACACATACACACACACACAGCAGTCAAGATAACCTGGACACGATTCAACCTGAACAGACTGTGTGTGTGTGTCATCAGCTTCCTCTCTCTATGATGAAATAACTGAGACAGTCACGTGCAAAGCAAAAAGGTTTATGCTGGCTCCCAGTTTGGGAGGGTCCAGTCCATGGTCGGCCAGCCCCTCTGCTCTTGGACGTATGGTGGTGCATTGTGCTGGGGAAAGTGGCAGAACAAAACACTGCAAGAGGGAGCGAGGAGGAGTAAGGATCCCACAATGTCCTCGAGAACACACCCCACACCCTCAGTGACCTAAAGATGTCCTGATGGGCCACCGCTTAAAGTTCCATCACTTCCCAACAGTGCCATTCTGGGGGCCAAACCTTTAACACCCGAGCCTTTGGGGACATTTACAGACCAAACCATAGCTGTGAGCCTCCCCCTTTAAGGAGCATGGAGGCTCCCCAATTCCAGGCCCATCCCCTCCATAAATAACCAGAATTGGGTGCCATGGGAGCCTCAAACACATCCTGGCAACATCTAGCCCTGAATTGGGATGACAAAGCCACAGCGTCCATGCTCAAGGGAGCTGCGCCCTCAGGACTGGTGCCCCCAACGGTCTGTCTATTCAGCTTCAGGTTCCAAACTTGGAAGTGAAAAAGCACAATAACTATTCCAGAGAGGCAGCTGGCCTGGCAGAAAGCTTTCCTGCCTGCCAAGATTTTTGTGTGAAAACTCAAAAGATGTTGCAAAATCTTCAATGGCCACGAAGCAATGTCAGGCATATGCAATTTGCCTGCACAGAACCAAAAGCTGAGTGGCAGCTGCTCCTCATAAGAGTGAGGTTTTCAGCACAGTGAGCTGTGGGCTGAAGGGGCCACGGGCAGGAAGGTGCCTGGCAGAGGGGCCCGGGCTCTATGCAACTTCCGGTGACAGTTCTGGGGCCAGGAGTTGGGACAGGGCCTCCCAGATTTAAGGTTCACCCTAATGCCAACCCCTCCTGAGAAGCGATGCCTGGGTCAACAGACCCCAGCACCCGAGGGCCCCGTCTGCTCAAGCCACACACAGGAGCTGCTGTAGCTATGGCTGTAACCCCGCAAACGTCACACCCAAAATGCGTGCCTGCTCCTCAGCTGCACAGCCGGGACAGCTGCCCACGCCACCCGTGACAGCAGGGCACCTGAGAGGTGGTTACTATGGCAGCTGAGAAAGTGGACTTTCCGTTTTAATGCGTCTTGAATTAAAGCTGATGTCCAGCCATTGGAAAACTCGGGTATCTTTCGAACCTCTTGGGTGTGTGGGTGTCACTCCTCAGCTGTTAGGTTCACGAGATTCATACACAGACGGCACAGCTCCGATGGGAATGTAATCTGTTTGGGGATCTATTGCAAGTACAGTATAAAAGATACTCGAGAAGTCTAAGACAGAAGGAAATACAGGCATTCTCAGAAGATTTCATGTACATGATTAAGTGGCGAAATGCTATTTTGGATATTTGGGTTAAATAAGCTGCAGCATCTAAAGCGTGGATTGAGCTCTCTGAAGTTCACCACAAAGACTCAGAAGGGCTGCAGCATTCGCCTGAGGTCCAGATCCTCAACACTGGTGGTTCTCAGGGCCGAAGACCTCTTCCTCCTGCCCTGAGGGGCACTGAAGGAGGGAGCCCGGGCAGTTGGGTAGGGACAGCTCCGGAAGGAATCGGGGGCCAGAGAGGAGGAGGAGGGCAGGGAAGGAGGCACAGCCTGGGACTCCACGGTGGCTGGATGGGAAACATGTCCCAGTGTCCCGCTCCCTGCTCCAGCCCCGTGCCTGAGTGTGCATGCATGTGTGAGTTTGCGTGTCTGTCCATTCATTTAGTCTTTCTCACAACGGATGCAGTAAGCCCAGCCGAGAGCTTTCATTAATAATCTGTAAGTTTGGGCCCTAAAACAGGAATTTAATTGAAGTTTCCCCAGCCTCAGCCAAAAGCCAGCTGCCCAGCAATATTAGGTCACATTTAAGAACAAATTTGGCCATGCAATGAGGCGCTCTCCGGGCTTGCTTTATGCAGCTTGTTCTCATGGCTCTTGGTGGAGACCCCCGCCAATGTCTACTTTCCCTCTTCCAGAAACTGACTGCGCCTGGGATCTGTAAAGCTCACGTAAGGCTGTCAAAACTAGGCGAGGCCTCTAAGGAAGCCGTCCCGAATCCATCGCGAGAAGCAGCGAGATCACAGAGGAGAGAAATGGCTCCTATTCCAGGAGCCTGGAGGACAGCGAAGGCCATGGTGACACGGGGTGACAAGTCCAGCTGTGGGCAAAGACGGCCCCAACCTGAGGAGTGAAGTAATACACTTTCTAAAAATCCACGTAACAGGCAGAGAGATCACAGTAGCCAAAAGAGCAGTTAACAGAGAAGGAAGGGTCTTTGTTTATAGAATCTCAGGGTGTCCAGGGATCAGAGAGGAATCCATTCCTCGGAATCACACCCCAAAGGGGCTGTTACATGCCAGGCAATATGGATCCATGGACATTATTGGTGGAAGGTCAAATGCATCTGTGTTGGGCTGTGGGGCAGAACCTGGAGAACTTTCGGGGGCATCTAGCGGGCCACAGAAGGTGGCCTTTGGAGATCTGGCCAGCAGAAGGGACTTCCCTGAGCTGCATCTGGAGATGTGCCAACTCTGGGGGTGGGGTAGGAAGCCAGCCAGGTCAGCCCCACCCAGTGGCCATGAGGGATGGGAGCTCCCGTGTGCAGGCCCCGCTGAGATCTCCATGCTCCCACTCTGTCCACGGGAGATGTCGCACCCGGGCACCATCGCAGCTCTGCCTGAGCCGGTGCCCAGTGGAGAGGTGGGCAGTAACACCCCCACCCAAAGGATGGGCTCCTCTCCCTCCATCAGAGCCCTCAGTGAGGAGACGCAGCCACTGCCGGAGTATGCTTCCCGGTGTCCGCTGAGAAGAAGCAGCCACCAACTGAATGTTATTGCACACCAGTGAGTGTTTCTCAATACTGTCTATCAAATGGCTGCATAAACCTCATTCTCAGATATGCGGAAAGTCATCTCTCCATTGCTTGGGTTTAAATCAGGCTTCAAATTAAACACATATTTATCTCAGTATAAGCAAATTTTATTGCTAAAAGAATTGCTTTTAGATTTTTTTCCCTGTTTTTCCTCTCACTGTTGCACATGGCCTTGAAGGTGATCATATAGCTGGGACAAATTACCCAGTACCTGCAACCTGAAAGAGGAGAAGATTCAGTCCATGGTCTGCTGCTCCCAGGCAGATCCAGCATGACAGGAGGGCCTGGCAGAGGAAAGCTGTTGACATCGTGGCAGCCAGGAAGCAGGGACATGAAGACAGCCTTCCAGATCAGACCCCTAGGCACCCACCTCCAGCCCGACCCACCACCTAACAGCACGTTCAGCTCTGAAGTCACTGATGGATGAATCCACTGAGGAGTGTAGCGCCTCCTCAGCCAGTGTCCCTCCAAAAACCTCACCTCTGAACACAGGAGACTTAGGGGATCTAAGATCTTTAGATTTAAACCATGTATCTCTTGAGTTCCAGCTCATTGTCTATTAGATATTTGCATTGAATTGCGTTTCCTTCAAGACACTACCAGCTAATGACCGAGCAGAGAATCTTCACCGTGGGACAGGAAGGACCAAGTCCGACTCGGTCTAAGGCATCCTTCACGGGAAGGACCGTCCATGGGCACCTGCTGGGCTGTGACACTGCCACCCAAGCCTTCCTCCTGCTCCTTCACTCCTTCCTAGGAGACCCAGGATAAAACCACCCACTTCCTACTGTGGGCAGATTTCGCCTCCACTGATCTCTGCTCCTTGGGGCAACATCCTGCTCTGCCTCTGCTGTCACCGTTTCAGGGCGCTCAGCTGTCCCTGCACCCACACACTGCAACTCCCAGGGTGTGGACGTGGTCTCAAAGGAACAGATAGTGGAAACCAATTTCCAATCAGAAAGGTTTCATCAGGAAGCAGTGCAAGAATGAAGATTGCCATCTACTAGGCCAGGACGGCGCCCGTGTGTTGGGAGAGCAGAGGAGAGGCAGGGGCTTCTTGGGACAGGGCCACGCGCACGAGCCATTGGGGGCGGCTCTCGGGCACCGTGGGGCCTGGGAGCTGGTGCTCTCCGGCTGGTGAGAAGTGCGGTCACCATGCCAAGCTCTTCTGACAGTTAAGGCTGGCCGTTCCGCCACCAGCTGCCAAGAAGAAAAACAGCCATGGCAAGATGGGGAGGCACTGGGCCGCACTGGCCTAGTGGGCAGTTCCGGGAAGACCACTGCACCTGCTCGTCTCCCCCCAGTCCCTGGCTGTTTCCCTTCGCAGGCTCTGGGTCTGCAGGTCCTCCCTCCCCTCTCCCACGGCCGTGTTCCTGGCCAAGCTCGCCACCCGTCGATCTCCAGCCCCACCACTGCTCCGACCCAGCCTTCACTCAGCTTCTGCTCCACCTTCCCCCTTCATCTGTGTCTTCAAGAGAGTGGAGTGAAAAGCGGGAGAGGCATTCTGGAAGCTGAGGCAGGAGAATTGCTGGTTCCAGCCCAGCCTAGGGTGACTTAGTGAGACCTTGTCTCAATATTTTTAAAGGGGGTGTGGGTGTAGCTTAGCACAAAGGCCCTGGGTTCAATCCCCAGTACTGTAAAAAAAACAAATGGGGGAAGCTGCATGGGGGCTCCACCCAGAGGACTCACAAGGCCATCCCGGTGTCAGCAGGTGACAACCCAGTCCTGACCCCTACAGGGGGCTGAATCTGAACTCAGGACCCCACGCAGAGGGAGGGTGGCTCAGCTATGCCAGGAAGGGCTCTGGGGGGGGCACCCATCCAGCCCGTTCTGTTTGCCGTCTAAAACCCGTGAGGACCCATTTTCCACTGCAGATCCTATTGAGGCCTTCTCGGGCTTCCTTTTACCGATGTTCCTGCCGGAAAGGCAGAAATGATAGGAACAGGAGCCGCTAGGTTCTCTCAATATGCTGGTGATGGCGCGGCCAAGAGGCTGGAAGCCTGCACTGTGAGCCACGCTTGAAAGGAAGCCGCTGCCGACCCCACTGCAGCAGGCCGGGAGCGGGCAGGGTGGGTCAGAGAGGGACATACAGAGGCAGGAGCAGCCCTGCCCTGCCTGTGCCAGGAGCAAGGGGCTGGGAGGGAGCTCTCGGGCCACCCCGAGGCCAACGGGTGTTTCCTGTGCACACTGGGACCAACAATCCGTGTATCCTTCCCGTCCCACGGTCCTGCTCCTCGGAACCTGTCCGCGAGTGTTCTTACAAAGCCCTGGGGAATCTAGAACCCTGGGACCAGACACACACTCTGTGAGGACAGGTGCACGCGGACCGTTCCGGAAGTAAATCCACAGAAAGAGGTAACCCTCGTGGCCTCCAGAGGCAGCTGGTGCCCAGGAGTGACGCCCCGCAGGGCCCGGGTCAGCCTGGCTGGGAGGGGCAGAGGGACACGGCGAGGCTATGTCAGGCTGCACTTGGAACTGGCACTTACCTTACGCATGCGCACACACAGCCCAGCGAGGGAGGAACAGGAGGGAATCGACTGCAGCCTGGCTGTGCATGTGGACCTCCACAAGGTGCAAGGGCGCTGGCTTCCAAGTCAGGTCTAGATCCCTCTGCCCGGGGTGGTGGCCGTGCACGGGGTCCTGCGAGCCCTACGCAGGTCCCCAGGGGTGAAGGGAGCTGCTTTAGAGAGCTCAGGACGCACTGAAGCTGCATGGGGCAGTGCGGTCAAGACAGCCGCGTTCGTGGGGCATTTCTGGAGCAGGATGCAGAGAAACACAGAACGCTGGAAATACGAAAAGGGAAAGGGCCGAATGTGCAGGGCAGTCTCAAATGTCTGCCTGCGCTCCTGCCCAGTTAACGGGCTAAGGAGACGGCTTTGCGGTTAGGGAGGCGTTGGCCCTGGAATTCGTTTGTGGTGAGCGCCACCTTGTGGTGTCCTTTGTATTTCCCAGAACAGAAAGCCACCCTGGCTGCAGCGCCCACTTCCGTACCTTCCGGCCCGAGAACTTCCAGCTGTCTTGGACCTACCCCAGTAGGCTCGCCCTCTTTCTGGACTTAGGAGGAATATTAACTGCAGGTCAGAGCCCAAGGCCCAGGTGTCTCCTCACAACTGCTCCACCACCCACCTGGACTCCCCAAGCCTCCACACCTGAGACCGCTGGGGGGCTCCGTGCCCACTCACCGGCTGCCCCAACTGCACAGTTTGCCTCAAAGCCCTCCCTCCACCCTTACATGCCTTTCTGGAAACTTGCTGGGTTTCCCTTCAGGATACGTCGCATCTGGCCTGTCCCCAAAACACACCTTCCCAGCAGCGTGCCACCCCTTTGACGCCAACCACAGCCAATTACACCTTAGAACAAAGATGCGCCCCCAACCCCCGCTAGAAACTGCAGCTCCCTGGACTCAGGCTACCGGGGGCAGCCAGGGGGACATCGGGGATACAGCACAGAGGGCAGCCTGCAGGGGAGGAGCCCGAGGGAGGAGACAGCGTCCAGGTGGCTGCCTCCACCAGGTCCAGGAGGGCACTCGGTTCACTTATCTAATTAATCCCAAGAAGGAATTTCAGGGTAGCAATTATTTTCCCCATTTTGCAGATGAGGACATCTCATCTTGAGCCCAGGGAGGTTAAGAATGTGCACGTTTATCTTGCATTCCCTGGACCTCATCAGCTGCGTCATGAATTCCCCGGTCAGAGATGCTCAGATTCTATCGGCTCACAGCTGCCCTCAGGGGAAAGCTGCCCCAGCATCCCACTGTGGTGGTCAAGCTTCACTGTCAACTTGATTGGCTTGGGTGTCACACAAGGGATGAGTGGAACTCACTGCTGGGTGTGTCTGGGGGTCATGGCGGTGTGGCCTTGGGGTCTATATCTGGTCCACGGCACCTTCCTTTCTGGCACTGTTCTCCTAGCCACCATGAACTAAGCAGCTTTGCTACACATACCCTTCTGCCATAACCTCCCAGCCTTGAAGCCAGCTGACCATGGACTGAATCCCCTGAAACCGTGAGCCAAACCAACCTCTCCTCCTTTAAATTGCTGGTATCTGATATTGGGGCCAACCGCAAGGTGACTAAGACAACCACTAACCCTCTGTTGCATCTGCACCCCTCTGGGGCCCCCACCTGAGTCCTCCTGGCTGCCACCCATGCTCACAGGGCCGTGGGGGGCATCTTCCCCTCTGCCTCTGCTTGAGGTGCATGGAGACCACTCAGGACTCACACTCAGGGCACAGTGCGCCGGGCTCCTCTCACCCCTGCATCTCACCCACAGAGCAGAACATCCTGTCCCCACCAGGCTTCGTGCCTGGTGATCACGTCACATCCGGAACCTGCCCCATGGTGCTCTGTCCACACCCTGCCCTGGGCTCAGACCACGGCCAGTTGGAGGCCCAGACACAGCTTTTTGCCCCCGTGCCTGCACTCTGCAGCTGTGAGGTCGGTAACTGCACACAGAGTGTCCAGAGCAGCGTGGATCTGTGTCTGTGACTCTGGGTCGGGGGTTTGGGCAGAGCCCTGGGGACTAGGGTCACAGTGTCACGAACCACTTTCCTTTCCAGAGGCTCCATGGAAGAATCATTTTCTGTTCATTCAGGTGGATGACAGGATTCAGTTCCTTGTGGTTGCAGGACCGTGGTCCAAGGCTTGCTGGCTGTCACCTGAGGGCAGTGCCGTTTCCAGAGCTGGCCCCTCACCTCACCTAGCCCCACCCTTCACCTCTGAGGCAGGCAGCTGGAGTCCTGCTCTTGCGGCATCTCTGAACACCTTTTTTCCTCCTAGTCTACCTGTAAGAGCCACCTGGAAAATCCAGGATTACCTCTCTATTTCAAAGTCAGCTGGTTGAAAAACTTAATTCAATCTGGAACCTCAATTCCATTTGCTTATAAGGTGCCAGGACCACATGTTCCATGATTAGGCCATAACTGATGCTGGGGGCCCCAGTGCTGCCCTGCACACCCTGGCCTTTTCCCCTGCGTGCTCGGCTCTCACCTATGCACACCTGCCTCCAGGTGAGCCCAGCCCTGCAGCCACTCCCCACAGTAAGCCCAGGAGCACCAGGCCAGGGTTAACTGTGGGTCCTGTGACACTGGATGTCTTCCCTCCCACAAAGAGCCCGTCTTCAATGTTGGTCTTTTATTCTGTCTGTCTCCATCTGGGTCTCTCTTGTTAACTCCCCCCAGCCCTGCCACACTGCTCTTTACCTCCAGGCAAAGGTAGCTCTTGCTCACTCCGGAGGGCTGCTCTGCCACTGTGGGACTGCTGGGCTTTACGGGAAGGGGGCTGCCAGAGGGGGTGTCCCTGCCCAAGGTGGTTGGTCCCGCTGGGAACCAGGGAGGGCTCAGGGTGGACAGGAGCCAAGGCAGTGATGGAGGGGGCAGGTCAGGCATCCAAGGGGAAGCACAAAGTGGGGGAGTGAGAGTGGGAAGTGCGGAGGGAGCAGGAAGCAGGAGGACTGCTGTCTGCGGGAGTAGGAGACAGGGAGGGAGCCCTCTCTGTCCCCGGGGCTGGCAGGCAGAGGACGGCATGGCTGTGGCCATGTCCTCTGAGAAACACGTTTGGCCCCCTAAGACTCTGGGGTGACCCTGGTGCTCAGAGCGGGAGGCTCTGTCCCTGGGATGAGGTTCTCATTGGCCGCCCAGGTGTGAGGCAGATTCGCCAGAAAGTCAGGAATCCCACTGAAACGCATCACACAGAGCTACTGAGCCAAACCCACGCGCCTGAATTCGTCACTGTCACTGTGGCACCGCTGTAGACAGTGCCAAGTTGGGCGCCCCCTGCCTGTGTCTGGCCACCTGGCTCTGGAGACGGGAGAAGGGAGAGGGTCTGCTGCCCTTTCCCAGTGGTCTCATTTTGCAGGAAGCCTCAGGATTACAACCCGCTGGGATGAATTGCCAGGCAGCCACTTGGGCCTCTCTGAAACACCAGGCAAAGATGGCAAGACCCACCAGGACCCTCCCAGAGCCCACTGCGGCCAGGCCAGCTGCTTTGGCTTCTATTTCGAGGGCACTATGTTGTGGGTATGGTTGTTCCCCAAAGGCTTGGTCCCCAGCGTAACAGTGCTGAGAATTGGGGTCCTTCCAGAGATGATCAAGCCATTGATGAGGCACCACTCTAGGAAGGGACTGACGCCCTAGCAGGGGACTGGGTTAGGTCTCCAGGGACCCAACCCCTTACCACGCGAGTGGGTAGCTCTACAGCGAGTTCAGCTTCCTCCCTGCTCTCACTTCCTCTCTTCCCATGCAACAGCTTCTACCTGCACCACTCTCTCACGAAAGCTGCCATGTGATCCCCATGCTCTGTTATGAGGCAGCTGAGGCCCTGGCCAGATGTGTCCACATGAACTGGAACTTCTCAACATCAAAAACGGCCAGCCAAAATAAACCTCTTTTCTTTATAAAATTCCCAGCCTCGGGCATTTTCTTAACCGCCCAAAACAGACAAAGGCAGGTGGGGAGCAGTTTCCCCTCTTCTTGCTGAAGGCTCCTCTTGGAAGTTGGGCAAGACCACAGGAGGAGACGGCAGGGCTGCTCCTGGTCCCTGCCTCCCACGTGGTTGGGCCCCACCATCCTGGAAGAGCCACAGAGAACAGCAGAGAGGAACACCCTACTCCACTGCCCAACATCCTCCAGACCGAGGATGGGATTCTTAGAGGGAAACTCTGGCGGGAAGCATCCAGAAGAGGTTTTCAGTTCTGGCCTCACTCTGGAGAGGCTGCTGGCCTCTGGGCTGTGTCTGCAGGTGGGGAGCACCTTTCTGCCTCATCTGCACCCCACTCATCCCACCTGCCCTGCTGACCTCCTCCTCCTGAGAGTAGCTGCTTGCAATCAGTCCCTTTAAAACAATACAGTCACAAGCCTGAGGCTCCAGGCCCCGGGCCACAAGAGAAATAGACATGATAAATAACATTTAAAGCACTGCAAAGTTTGAATTTCACATCTAATATGCGCCTCTGGAGATTCTGCTAAGCGTCTTTTATTCCTGTTCATAAATTCTTATGATAACAACTTTATTTGGGGATTAATCCAGATTCCCATTAGTCATCGAATTGCACTTTCTCAGTGTGTGAGTTCTGCCCTCATTGAGTTACAAAGCCTTGGAGGCTAGGCTAGCTCTGCGCGGCTGCTGGAATGACAGTGAGGTGTCGCAGTCCTTATGTTTCAGAAGCACCAATGCACCTTTACAGGTTTCCAAATTAAAACCAGGGTGAGAATTGGCTATGGCAGAATCTGACTCAGAGTATTATGGGATGCCCACTGGTGCTGGCTCTTGGCCCACACAGATGAAACAGGCATCCTTCTTGAAATAGCACTGTTGAGCATGTGAGCACTCAGACTCTGGAGTTTGACATTCCCGGTTCAAATCCTGACTCCATCTCTCATGAGCTATGTGATCTCAGGCAAGTTACATGACCTCTCTGAGCTCTGGTCCCCTCCTGTATAAAATGGACACTAACTTCTATGTGATGGGGCTGCGGGAGCTCAGACTGGTACTTGGCAAGCCACTGGCATTTATTGGGAGTTACTGTGTGATAGAAACTGTACTAAACACAGTGTGTATTAATTCATTGACTCAGCACTTCTGAGGTTCGACATCATTAGCCCCATTTTAGGGAGTGGCCACTCAACAAATGTTGACCATTGGTGTTTTTGACACCAGTGTCCTTCCTCTACTTCTGGTAACACTGTCCAGATCTTATCTGGGAAACCACCCTCAACTGTCTACATTCCCAGTGGCTCTTGGGAAGGTTGGTCATGTGACCAGGCTCTTAGCCAATCAGAGCCTCTCCCTGGCATCACCATGTGATTGGCTTACTCTGAGCACATGACCCCATCACAGCAGGGCTTTCTGGGAAAGAGACTTACTCTCTCTGGGGGAGGTGTTGTGAGACTGGGAAGCTGGCATGGCTGCCCCAGGCAGAGTGCATGGCAGAGATCCCCCAGACCCAGAGGAAACAGGGCAAGACTGGACAGGGAGAGTCAGGCCTGGTGACCTCATGGGACTCCACTCCCTCTAGCAGCCTTCCTGAGAGGACACCTGACTGTGGCCCCCTCCATTCCTTCACCATCCGATTCACTCCCTTTGGTGAAGGCAGCTGAGTTGGGATTCCTGGCATATGTGACAGATCAAGTCCTTGTACCAAAAAATAAGTGTGGCAATAAAATATATCTAAATGGCAACATCATTTTAATCCTATGGTTGGACACAGAATGCCACATTAGCCTCCCCACTTTCTGGGAATAATTCTGGTTTTTTCCAATCCCATAACTAATATCAGCATTACATCCTATCAAAGCTCATCTATGTCATTGAAGCTGCGTTATCGATCATCCTGGAATCAGAAACTTCACCCTGGTTTGTCTGGTCCATTAGGGAAGCAGAAATATTGTGTCCACAATCATCTAAGCGGGCACACAATGGGTTCACTCATGGATGTCGGGAAAACCACTGACCAGAGTCCTTCTGGGGACTAAAGCAAAACAAGGTGTTCTAGAAGAAAGTTTTCTGTCTGTGAAGATCTGAACCTAGTGCTCTTCCTCTGACATGTGATAAATGGGCAATGTTCAGCTGCCTACCCCATCAGCACTGCACTACCAGCGACTGAACTCTTCCAAGAATTCAGATGCCAAGGAATGTTCGGCCCCTCCAGGAAAGAGAATTGAACACAGTGCTTGAGTATTGCAGGCTGAGGTATGGGCTTGAGCGGCAGTGTAGCCTCACCTCAGAAACCCGGCTGTGACCTGGCCCTAAAGCATTCCCAGGCTGCCTCTCCTGTCAGAGGACCTATCTGGAGCGAACACTCGCTGGTGTTGGAGCCCCCAGCCCCGGCTCTGTACAATGCTGCTGCTCATGTGGGCCTGGGGGTCAGACAGCTGTGAGTGCAAAGGACTGACATGCACTACTTGTGTGACTGCAGTTGTCATCTAACCTCTCTAAACCATGGTTCTTCACGCCATGATTGTGAGGGTGGCCAGATGATGGTGGTGGGGGAGTTTAATAAATGCTGATGCAGTACAGCTGAATCCAGACTGAAAGTCTTGCTCTACGCTATTAGACAAACACCTTCAGGGCCTGGAGTGCTGACCTTCCACAGGCTCCAGCTGTACCATCCTGGCCTCTCCTAGGGCCAGTCAGCTTCCCTTGGCCAGGGGCTCAGCGCTCAAGGGCTCACACACTTTAAGAGCTCATGAAAGCCGTGGAAAGTTACAATGGATAAGAACCTCCGTCTCAGGAAGCTGGTTTCTGGGGTTAGGGACTGGTGCTGCGCCATGGAGACCGAGGGTCACGCCCAGAGCGGCTTCCTAAGCCCTCCCCCTTCTCACCCAGAAACCCTGCCCAGTGCGCACGAGGACGCCCCAGGCTGACCTAGCCTCCCACACAGTGGGCCTGGGCTTGGACCAGCACAGCTAGGATGGGCCCAGAGGAACCTTTGGGGAAAACTCACAGAAGGACATGGCCCATAGGAAAGGACACCTCGAAAACAGTGTCCTGGGTTTCCACTTGAAAAGTAATTTTTGGGAGGGGGAATTAACTGCTCTGAGCTGAAAAATCAAAAGAGAATGAAAAATTATGTTCCACCAAGGCCTGTCCAGTCCTGCAGCCTGAAGGGAGAGTAGAGCTCCTACATGGTGATGCAGCGCCCCCTGGTGGGCTGGCCTGGGATTGCACCAAGGTCTCCAGTTGCCCCCTCATCTGGCTCGCTGTTTCCCTCTGCTTTGCAGGACACAAACTGAAAATGCCTTCCCCAGGACTGTGTTACCTCCTGGAAAGTTAAGTGTAAGGCTTGCTGCCCGCTGTCAAAGGTTAAGAAGACTTTTCTTAAAACCCAGTGTCAAGAAGGTGATGGATGGGCCATCCCACCTGGACCCCGTCCAGCGGCTATCGGGTCATTGATAGTCGTTTGTGCAGGCCCTGGACGTGACTAATCTAATTCACTGCTCACAACAGCCTTACTGGGCAGGGTGGTCCTCACCTGAGCTCTACAGGTGCAGAAGTGGGACAGAGAGGGCCTGGGGGCTTGCCCAAGGTCAAGGGTCAGTGTCGATCCCACTCCCGAACTCTCAGGGGCTCTGCTATGAACTGCATGGGAAACAAGACAGTTTCTGCTTTGGTTCCCCCCAAATACATAATAAATTATACCTTGGTTCCCCAAATTCTTATATTTCTTTTCTTACTGAATGTCAACTTTCTATTGAGCACCTCCAACCCCCAGTTCATTTCTAGGAAAGTATAAATCATGCCTTGGATCAGGTTTATCAATCAAATACTGTTTTCAAGGTAGCAGACTGGGCATTGTGAGGAAAGTCGTCCAGCAGGAGACTCACAGTCACCTGAGGTGATGCTAACGTAAGGCCACACTGAGCTACTCGGGGCCAAGAAATCAGATGGAACCCACAGTTCATTGCCCAGTGTGTGCGGCTGGAGTTAGGCGAGGATCAGCTCTGAGCGTCATCGTGACCCAGGTGGACTTAGGCACGATGACCTGGAGCTTGGGGAGCCAAACCAAGCATGCAGAGGCAGGAGAGATAGTAGGACAGGAAGCAAAATGTCTCAGGGCACAAACAATCTTGTTCGTGCCTCTGGAAATGCTTCAGAAAGACTGGGACCCCTGACTGGGTACCAGGGACTTGGCACTTCCGAGAAATCCGTAGCAGTTTGGCCACAGCTTTCCTGTTGGCACAAGGATACCTACAGGTTCCACCCCCATACCACCCTGATCCTTGGGTAGGACAGGCCGCAGTTCACTGTGAAGGAAGGTTCTGAGGCCATGCCTGTGCTCCATGGAAAAGGAAGTGAGATTGATTAGTAATGCCTGCTGTGGTCAGCATTGGGGTGGTGACAAGATCCACACCATTAATTTGCCTTCCCCCGGTTCCAAGAGAGCTGTCTCTATACAAGAACCCTCTGTCCTGAGGCTGAGTCTAGAGCAATGACTCCCTGCAAGGGGCAAAAATGCTCACAATATGGCAAGTTCTGTGGGGCCTCCAGCTTCAAGATAAGGCTGGCAATGAGAAATGATAAGGGAAGGAGAAAAAGTTATTAATATAACCAACAACAAGTCTCTCACCTTGCATCTGGCTCGCAGAAAGTTTCTGTGATTGTCTTTTCACTTCCTTGCTGGTGTCCTTTTTTTTTTTTTGGTACTGGGCATCGAACTCAGAACCTTGCCCTTGCAAGGCCAACGCGGCACCACTGAGCTAAAGCCCGATGGTGTCCTTTGAAGAAAAAAAGTTTTTAGGTTTGCTTATGCCCAATTTATCAGTTTCTTCTTTTGTTCCTTGTGCTTTTGTCGTATCTAAGAAAACAGTGCCTAATCCATGATCATGAAAATTTACCCTATGTTTTATTCTAAAATTATGATAGCTTTAGCTTTTGCACTTAGGTCTTAGACCTATCCTGAGCTATTTGTGCGTGTGTGTGTGTGCTTGTGTGCACGTGTGTGTGGTGAGAAAGAGACAGAGTCCGAATTCATTCTCTTGCATGTAGCTATGCAGTTATCCCATCAACAATTGTGGAAAAGACTATTATTTCCCTCGCTGAGAGGTCATGATATCCAGGTGGAAAATCCATTGACCATAAATGCAAGGGCTGATTTCCGTGCTCTGCATTCTACTCCAGTGATCTATCTGTAGATTCTTATACATTTAGCTATAGGTCAAAATATTGATTACTATAGCTTTTTAGTAGGTTTTGCTATCAAAAAACATGTGTCCTTATTTTTCTTTGTTTTCAAGAAATCATTTGGGGTATTCTGCATTCCCTGAATTTATGAAAAAATTAGGATCGGCTTGCCAGTGTCTGCAAAGAAACCAGCTATGGTTTTGATGGGGATTTCACTAAATCTGCTGGATAATTTGGGCAGTGTTTCAGCTAATGTACAGTCTTCTAATCCATGGGTGAGAGTCATCTTTCATCTGATTATGTCTTCTTCAACTGCTTTCACCAATGCTGTGTGGTTTTCAAAGTGTAAATTTTGCACTACTTTTCTTATATTTATCTCTAAGCGTTTTATTCTTTTTGATGCTATAAGTGGAATTATAGTTTACATTTTGTTTTTGGATTGTTGGCTATTGTATAGAAATAAAATTGATATTTACATGTTGACCTTGTATTCTGCAACCTTGCCAAACTCATTAATTCTACTCATTTTAGTGGATTTCTTAGAAACTTATATATAAAAGATCATATTGTCTTCAAATAGATAAAGATTTGCTTCTTTTCAAACTAGATGGCTTTTGTTTAATTTATGTATTTATTTTGCCTAATTGCCTTACCTAGAACCTTTAGTACAATGTAAAATAAAAATAGCAAAAGTGGACATTCTTGCTTCATTTCTGAACATAGGGAAAGCCGTCAGTCAGCGGTGCTAGCTGCAGATTTTACAAATACGCCCTTTATTAGTTTGAGGAAGTGCCCTTCTATTTTAGTTCATTGAGTATTTTCTTTACTACGAAATGAGACTGGATTTTGTTTTATATATACTCTATGTCTTTTGGGGTAAATATCTGATTTGGTTTTTATTCTGTCCATATGGTATACTACATTAGTTGAGGCTTGTTTGGTTTTGGGGGGTTGTTTTTTGTTTTGGTTCTTTTATCAGGGGGCTCACACTGGGGATAGAACCCAGCACCTTTGCCCTGAGATACCTCTCCAGACTATTTTAGTTTATTTTTGAGATGAGGGGCTTGCGAAGTCGCTAAGTACCCAAGCTGGGCTCGAAGTCATGACTCCCTTGCCCCAGCATTCTGAGTGCTGGATTACGGGTGTGCACCCTCACACCAGGCTGCGTTGTTTCTGGATGTTCAACTTACTCTGTACTCATGGGATGTACCTCATCTGGCTACGATTTACAGCCCAATGAATCCATATTGGTAATATTTTTGAGGATATTTACATTCTTGCATCTATATTCACAAATAATATTTATCTGTAGTCTTCTTTTCTTGTGATCTCTTTTGGTAGGGTATTACCCCATAGGATGAGTTAGGAAGGGTTCCTTTCTCTTCTATTTCAGAAAAGCTTTAAAGAATTGACATGAACTGCACATGGTGGTCCACATCTGTAATCCCAGCACTCTGGGAGGCTGAGGCAGGAGGTTCGAAAATTCAAGTCCAGCCCGGCTAACTTAATGACTTATTGAGACCCTATCTCAAAATAAAAAACAAAAAAGGCTGGGGGTGTCGCTCAATGCAAAGACCCTGGGTTAATTCCCCAATACCACACCATAGATATAAAAAGAACTGATAGGAATTCTTTTCTAAATATTTGGTAGAATCCACCAGTAATTGTAGCTGGTCTGGTCTTTTCTTTGTGAGTTACTTAAATTGCTAATTCAATCTTTTGTTACAGATCTGTTCGAATTTTTCTTCTTTTGTGAATCAGTTCTGGCCTTTATGTCTTTCTAGAAATGTGTTCATTTCATCTAGATTACCCAATTTACTAACAGACAGCTGCCATCGCATTCTGTTACTTAAATCCTTGTTATTTTGGTACGCCCGGTGACACCGCTTGCTTTTACCGTTCGGTCTACCCAAGGGTTTTCCAATTTTGTTAATCTTTTCCAAGAAACACTATTAATTTTCTTTGATCTTCTCTATCATTTTCAGTTCTTCTTTTCATCAGCTTCAGCCCCAACCCTTATTATTTCTATCCCTCTTCTTGCTCTTCTTCTCCAGTGGCCTAAGCTGGCTGGCTGGTTGAAGGCAGACCTTCTAGGTCTGAATCTCAGCAACTCTGGACCCTGCTCCTGGAGCAAAAGGCCTGGGCCGGTATTCTGGCCCCTACTCGGGAGCTGGCGAGGGTGAGAAATGCCCACAGCGACCCCAAGCCTTGCCTGGGAGACGCACTCCCCTCTACCCCAGAGTGGAGCTGCTGGGGAGCTGAGCAAGGTGGTGAGCGGCAGGGAGGAGGCTGTAGCTCAGACACCAGACCCTCACGGTTCCTATCAAGTTTTAACAGTCTCTTTGTGTTACGCTTCATACCTGGACGCCCCTCAGGAGCTTCGTGTTCAAGGCAGGGCTTCGGAAGGCCATTGAATTACGCGGCTGCTACAGCAGGCTGGCTGTTGGGAGGCGGGGCCTGGCCAGAAGCGGCATCGCTGGGGGCGTGGCCCTTCCTCGCCACTTCCGGCGGCGCCGTGATGCGAGTAGATTTCCTTCGCCAGGGCCTGCCCCCGCACTGCCCACTGTGCCAGGGCTGCCCCTTCTAAACGGTGAGCAGAACTAGCCTCTCCCCTTGAATCTGGGGGTGTTGGGTTTGGCGTCCAGGGAAGGGAAAGTGACTATGACCCCTTGAACAGGTGCTGTCTCATAAGCGCAGTTTTTGCCCGCTCCATTCCACTGCTGTCGGGAACAACGCTACATAATTTTAGGGAAAAATCATTTGGTTAGCCTAGCTCTCCTGCCTACAGTCCAGCTATGGAATTCCGAGACATAATTGCATTTTGGCCTACGGTCACAACTGAGACCTCGATGATCCGGGGATGCTGTCTGTGATTCTCCAGGACAAGAAACATCCTGGGAGCTGAGAACATCCTGGGAGGAACAAACATTACTCAGTTCCTCCTTGATCTTGGATTGTTACATCTTATTTAGGCAGGATGTACCGAACTCTCTGCAAGTCATTCGTTACCTTTGTTTCTCCCGATGTACTGAGTACTGAATAAAGGGTGCGGTAAACAGGGGGCTTTCGTCTTTGCTGCCCAGAGCAGCACTGATCAGATCCAAAGCTCAGCTTCTTAGTCTCATTTTTCTACCTTTCCTGTAATTCGCCTTGTGCTGCTGTGGCTCGCAGGAGACTAGGACTTACTGCAGAGGTTCTAGTAACGTCCCCTTTCCCTGTTCCCTACACGCTGCGAAGTGGGTCCGCAGAGCTTCCCACGCCTGCGTCCCAGGAGAGCCAACCCTTCCTGTGCTTTTCAAACCCTTAGGTCGTGATGAGCTCACTCTCGGCGGTCAGTCGGTCCTGGGGTGCCGCCCTCTGCAGCGCTCCACCGTGTTGCCACCTCCGCTCCAGTTTATTTACCGAGCTGTCCTCAGATTTCTGCATCTGCTGCCCTCACGTCTCCTACCACAGTCCACTCACCCCACGGGAGTTCAGAGGGCAGCAGAGCCTCCCCACTCTGGCCAGCAGCCCCGGCAGCAAGGAAGCTCCACCCTGAACGCTCCTCGCGATTTCTTCTTTTGCCCACCCTTCATTAGTGCGCCTTGGTTCTGCAGATCAGTGGGTTCATCCTGGCCAGCTTTAACTTAATCCTCCCTCACGGCCCCCTTGCCCCTCCCCCGGCATCGTGTGTTCCGGGGGAGTGCTAACGCATGTAAGGTAGTTTGATCATGTTCATGGCCCCGTTACGTTACCCCCACTTCACCCCTTGTCCCTTCCCTCCTTCCCCTCCTCTGGTCTAATAATAGCCTCCCGGCCACTTTTCTGCCATATTTTTTTATTCCACGAATTAGGGAGAACATACAGTATTTGACTTGGAGTCTGACTTATTTCATTCAGCTTGACGGTCTTTGGGTCCATCCATTTTTTCTGGAAATGGCAAGATTTTGTACTGTTTTGCAGCTGAATAATATTCCATTGTGTGTGTAAATACTATATGTCCTTCATCCGTTCATCTGCTGGTGGGCATGTGGGCTGCCTCCATGCCCTGGCTGAGGTGTATTGTGTTGCAATAAACATGGGATGCAGGTATGGCCATGGAAGGCTGACCCTAAGTCTTTCTGAACCCTACCGGAGTGTTACAGCTGGATCATGTGGTAGCCCAGTTTTCAGTGAGCAACCTCCACAAGGGGCTCCATACTGGCTGTACCGATTTACATTCCCATCAGCAGTGTCCAAGTGCTCCTTTTCGCCCCGAACAGGCTGCCTTCTGCATGTGGGTCCCACCCCTGAACAGCATCAGACCCAGCCTCAGCAGCCATGGTCCTACAGCAAAAGGCAGCTCCTGTGGAATGGGTGGGAGGGAGCCCGGACCCTTGCAGCTTCACTCCCTCGAGCGCCTCATTCCTTATAAATCACTCTGAAGTTCACAGAGTTTTTTAAAGGTGGCAAAGACAGCCAAAACCAGGTGCAGTTTCAAAATTCTGAACTAGCTTCCCTGGTACAATTTCCAGCTTCATCGGTGACTGTGTTTCTCTGAGAAGAGCTGTGGAAGGAAGGAGAGGCAGCCCCACAGGAGGGGACCCTGGGTCATGGGTGTGAGACCACAGCCTCCACCTGCGAGCCCACATTTCCCTGCTGGACGCCGAGCCCAGTCCTCAGCCCAAGGGCAGCGAGAGAAGCACTGAGCTGCTCACCCTAGACCTGCGTCTCCAGGGAGCCCAGGGCCCCATGGCTGCCTCCCTTTGATGCTCTCGTTTCCGGCCAGACTTCATCTCTTCTGAGCCCTGCCTCCTGAGATGACTGTCCTTCACCATATCCCTTCAGTGTTTCTCCTGTTATTAAAAGTTTGGGGGTAAAAAGTGGCTTCAGCCCAGCACAGTGACAACTGAAAGCCGGACACCTGCCATCACAGCCCAGGACACCCATCCATTCCTCACTGCCACTGGAGCTCCTGTCTATGTCAGGGTTCACCTTGGGCACCAACTGCTCCACGGCCACCCCTGCCCCTGAGCCTTCTTTCTCTGTGTCCCTGGGTCTCTCCTCCCAGCCTCCAATTCCCGATTCCTGTCCCTGTCTTTTAAAGATGCCTTGGTCTGCCTCTGTTGCTGTACTATAACAAAATACCCAGCACTGGGTAATAAAGAGTAGAAGTTCATGTGGCTCCCAGTTCTACTGCCTGGGATGTGCGAGAGCAAGACCATGGTCCCAGCCACTGCCCAGCGTCTGGTGAGGGCTGTCTGCTGTATCACAACATGGCAGAGGACATCACATGGCCGCGGGGAGGAGGAGAAAACATGGCAGCCCAGTTGTTGTCCTTCTTGGGAAGTCACTACCCCACCCTCTTGGCCTCATTCAGTCTTCCTGACCTCCCAGAGGCTCCACCTCCAAACATCATTAGCATGAGAATTCTGGTGCTAACTTTCCCGGTCAGAGCAAAACCTGACCTTCTGACACCCCAACCTCTGCTTCTAACCTGTGATTGTGTCCAAAGCCTCACTGAGACTTTCTACTCAGAAAAGAGCTGCTAGGGCCGAGGATTTAGCTCAGTGGTTTCGCCGCCTGCTGCGCAAGCGCAAGGAACTGAGTTCAATCCCCCGTACAAAAAAAAAAAAAAAAAAAAACAGAAAAGAGCTACTCACTTAGGTCTCCAACTCTCAGCGCCCCAAAACACCTGAAAAGCTTTGAAATAGATTTGTGCCTTTGAATGATCAAAGTGCTGGCCAGGGTTTCCACTGAATAATAGTCCACTGCCTAAAACAGTTCAGCATTGTTACTCTGTACTCCAACTTTAAAATCCTGCTCTTCAAATTTATATCCAGTGATCTTACAATCATGTTTCTATCAAGTGTTTCTCCCTCTTGATGAAATTTTTACTCCTTAATTCATCCAAACTATCTCCAGTTATGGTAGATAACCCCTTTCCAATGTAATGTTCCACATGATTCAGTCAACAAATACCAGAGATAACCAACTTCTAAAGAGAAAGGGTTTACTTTGGCTCATAGTTTGGGAAAACTCAGTCTGTGGTCAGTTGGACCCATTGCTTTCAGTAACCATGAGAGCATGATATATCACGTGCTGTACCATTGGAAGCCTGGATGGGAGGGGGGAGCGGCTGGCCTTAAGTCTTCTGTCAGAAAACAAAAGAGAAGGGTAAGAAAGGGGCGAGGCTCCCAGATTTCCTTCAAGGGCAGCCCCTGTGACCAGCAGGCCTCCCACTCCTCAGCCCTTGAAAGTTTCTGTTATCCCCCAATATCACAAAGCTGGGGAGAAGGTTTTAACACACAGGCCGTTAGGGGACGTATATGATCCAAACTCTAGCATGTTGGGAATTTCTTGAGGAGTTTTTCTAGTGTTTTTATTTACATTCTGTCCAGAGCATTGATAAACAATCATTTCCAAATGGACATGTTGTTGATTACGCAGGAATAATCAGTGACAGGTACTGCCACCTTGAAATGCTTATTAATTTTATCTGGAACTTGTGTTTTGTAAGGGAGGTCCCTCAGAATAAGGGAGCATGAGCCTGAGCTGGGGAAATATGGGCCACATACATGTCCACTGCCATTCCTAGGGCTCACAACTTGCCGTGAGCACAGAGCTCCCTGTGGGCCCAAGGAGGGGGGACCAGCAAGACCCGGAGTAAGCAGAAGGTCAGCTTGTCACTTCCATAACTTGCCCCTACACCCTGAACTTGCTTTAAATGCAAGAAGGTAGTGGAGTTTCGGGAAACATCAAGGAAACTTGTCACATCCTTTCTTACCCACACTGCTCCATTTTCCTTTCAGCCTGTCTTTATTAGTCAAGTCTAAGATGCAGAGTATTGGTAGAACATGTGCATACAACTAGTGTCATAAAGACAGCTGAGTTCATTTTGTGCATTTCCATAGTTCTAATAAAAACAAAATGCATGCATGTGCAAGGTATGAATAGGGGTTATGGACTTCCTGTGCCTCCGATGAGCTCAATGCCTTATGGATATATTTAAAACTGGCCTTGTACAATATAAAGATGAAAGGTAAAATTCATCCATGATAATTTAAATTTTTAATTTTTCTTTCCTTAGAATAATATTAAATAACCTCTTTTTACATTATGGAAAGTTAGGAGAAAAACAGAAGGAAAAGGCTTTTCTTGTGTTCCTGGGTACTGAACTCAGGGCCTTCCCACTGAGCTACATCCCCAGCCCCCCTTTATGTTTAATTGGAGACTGGGTCTCATCAAGTCACTAAATAGACCGCACTAGAATGGTGTATTCCTCCTGCCTCAGCCTCTTGCTGGGGCCGGAGGCGGTGCTCGCTGTTTTAGAAAACACATCAAGACTCAAAGAAACACCTCACTGTGCCTCCGCTGCCACTGTTATTATTGAAAACGTATCGGTCTCACATTATCCAGGGTCACGGGCAGCCTCGTACCAGCTCCCAAACTGCAAAACGCGATCCTTCCGGACAGGCCCAACGCCACGCCGGAAGCCCGCGAGTCCTCCAGAGCACCGAGAGCGCAGTCCAGAGCGCCAACGCCCCTTTCCGGGCCACAGTGACGTCTCAGGACGCGCCGGAACTAATGGTGCGCCTGCGCGGCGGCGCTCACTGGCAAGGGTGGTTTCCTACGTCATCGCGGGCGCGACGCCCGGAGGGACAGTCTGGAGGCCGGCTGTCTGGAAGGTGCGCGGCGAGATCGGCCGGGAAGATGCCAGTGGCGGTGATGGCGGAAAGTGCCTTCAGTTTTAGAAAGTTGCTGGATCAGTGCGAGAACCAGGAGCTCGAGGTAGCCTTTCGCGTCGCGCTGGGAGAAACTTCGCAGTGCTCCCAGGCACGGGGCGGTGCCAGTTTCTAGGGTAACAGGAGCCGGGGAGCCTGGGGCGTGGAGCGCGCGCCCTGCTGGACCTGGAGGTGGGGAGCCTGGACCCCGAGGCCTGCTCAGACCGGGAAGGAAGGGTCCAGGCCGGCCTGCCCGAGCTCGCCTGCAGGTTTTTGTCGGTTTTAGTTTGTGAGCCCGAAGTTCTTGTGCATCTTTACCACCTACCAGTGTCCTCTATTTACTAGGCTTGACATTTACCTGGCCTGTGTCCGGGCCGGAGAAGGCAGAAATGTGGATTGTATTAAAAGGCTTGTGTGCAGCCAGACACCCCTGCCCCGTAGAGGACAAGAAAGAACCCTTTCTAGCTCAGAAAGTCCTTGTTAGTCTCTTAATGTTGTAATCAAGCGAGCTTGACGTTTGGTCTGTAATAAGATACCGGGAAAAGTATATTAGGCAGCTGTTAAAGTTTCTTAGACACTTAAGCATTGATTACGTTAGTATAGTTAGGGGAGACAGTGCTAGAAGCAGCAGCTCGCTAACAGACACTTCAGATTATTTCTAAATGAATTAAAATTGCACGAGGACAGAGATGTCTTTGTAATTCAGCCATGGTATTTTCCCATTATTTATGTAGAGACTTAGCATGCTTGATAAATAGGCAGAATCATAATGTTTTAGGAATCTGTTGAGAGTTTGTTTCCTAAAATAGTGAGATTATGTAAGTACAAATTTGAGAACTAGGAAAGGGACTTCATTTAAGTATTCTTGTATATATAATGAAATTGAGAGAAGGGAGATAAAATAACAGCCGATGACAGATCTAAATTTAGTATTCTAGGTTTTAGTGTTTGGTGTTTCTCTAAGCTGTTGGCTATATCTAAAATAGTATATAAGATGGGCTTTTTAAACTATCATTAAGAAAATATTTGTATGAACGAAAAGAGTAAATAGATTTTTCTCTTATTTTGGGCCTCCTAGGCTCCTGGAGGAGTTGCCACACCCCCAGTGTACGGTCAGCTACTGGCATTGTATTTGCTCCACAATGACATGTAAGTACCTTTTGTCTGATGCTCCAAGCAGCAGCTTCTCAGAGTTGTACAGAAATCATTGTAATTTGAAGTAGAGCACAAAGCATAGGCTCAATGAGCTGTTTTTTTATTGTGGTACCTATTATATCTATTTTCTGTTGAATCAAAATGAATTGTGATTACACTGTTACTTTAAAATATATTTGTTTTACATACACTTCTTTTAAGAATTTTAGTTTGACTGAGAGACTACAGTATTGGTATCTGTGAATCTTTTTTGTCACCTCAGTTTACTTATGATCAATAAATGAAAAGAAGCTGAAAGGGAAGACCGAGAAAGCCAAGAGGAATTCATTACCAACATGTGTGAGATTTCTTAGAATTTTTTTTTAAATTTCTATCCATGTTCCCTAAGGGAAATCCAGGAAACATAACTGTTAAAAGAATCTCCTATAGGTCTAGGACCTATGAATGACTCCTGATAAAATTTTGTTTTAAATTCTTACAAATCCTTTTTGATATCTTTTTAATATCTGCACTGATATTTATATTACACATGTATCAAAGATTGTTTCTTTTTTTGTAATCTCATTATCATGTTTGTTCCAGTCTCTTACAAACTCTCATGTTGGAAGTTTTAAGGGGTCTGTACTTACAGGGAAGAAAGGTCCTTCAAAGGGATGTTCAAAATACACAGTGAATGTTTACATTTACGAATTTATTACAGTAAAAGACACATTGCTATTTATCCCCTTCATTCTTATCCCTTTCTGAGGTAGTTCTGGAAAGTCTTTTTCACGACTATCTCTACAATGTTTTGCTAAAAATATGGTGACACCTGCTGCCTGTTGCCATCCAAGGGAAAGGCAGCTTGTAAAAGCATTGTGGCATGTCCTCATCCACCTGATTCATCGGGATCTGGCACCGTGCAACTTCTGGCTCTCCTCCAACATCAAAATGACCGTGAAAAAGAAACATTTTGAATCGGTTCAAGGCATCAAAGCAGCCGTGAGAGCACAGCTTCAGGCACTCACGGAAGAGGACTCCAGAGCTGCTTCAAAAAGTGGCAAGAGTGATGGGATAAGTGTGTTTGAAGCGAGGGCGAGGATTTCGACAGGGGAGTTCATGGCAGTGGGTCTTTTACTATAATATTTTTAATCTAATCATTCACTGTATTTTTTGGTCAGACCTCATTGTCAGGAAGTGCTAGTGTTTTCTAAGCACATACATTTGTTTTATGTATCTGAGCGAATTGTGTGGGCAGTTTGGTATAAATCTGTGTGTTTAATGTACCGTTGCCTTGATTTGGAATCTGAATCATTAATTTTAAGAATTCAGTAAAAATGGCAGAATGACTTTGATAAATATATATATTCCATGTTTTTTTACCCGGAAAACCACTTGAATTTTCCCAGAATAAACTCAGATAAAATTAAGTTTTACACTGTATCATAAATTGTATTTGATAGTATACTTCTACATGTTTGCATTGGGACCCAGTAATTTTAACTATTCATTTCTTTTCTAATTGACTGTTCTTTATATAAATTAGGAATAATGCAAGATATCTTTGGAAAAGGATACCGCCTGCTATAAAATCTGTAAGTTGTCTTTCAGTACATTTTTGGCTTTAATAATATAGTAACAGTCGCCAACAGGGCAGCCTCTCAAACATTTCTGTTTTCTGTGTGATAGAACTCATCATGACCAGCATTTACATCTTTAGATTTTCCTAGCTAGAAGTTTAAATCTCTGTGAGATGGTACAGAAATGTCTGCCCACCTCTTACTGATCACATTGCCTGAGACCTGTCTTAGAAGCTTGGGCTTCACCAGATCCTAGTTGAAGTGTAGGAGGGGCAGCAGTGGCAGAGTTGTGGTAATTCTCAACTGATCAGTCTCCTGTAATGGTACTTATTTTAAAACTGTAATGGTACTTATTTTTAAATATTATAGGAGTATTCTTGAAGTGAATATTCACAGCATTAAGATAGCTTTGCTAATTAGAATTTTAGATTTCTGTTTTGGATGGAAGATTAGATGCAATAACTAGAAAAGTTTCTTGCACAGTGGAATAAAGTACATGTTTAATTTCAAGTGATGATCTATTCCATTCCCTGATACTGGGTTTGGTAAGGTTAGAATATTCCTCAGCTTGATAAATAGTGATAGCCAAGCACAGTGGCACACAGCTATAGTCCCAGCCACTTGGGAGGCTGAGGCAGAAGGATCACAACTTTGAGGCCAGCCTGGGCAACTTAGACCCTCTCTCAAAGTAAAAAATTAAAGGGCTGGGAATGTAGCTCAGTGGTAGAGCGCCCGTGGGTACAATCCCCAGTATTGCCAGAGAAGCAACAACAAAAACAGAACAGGGCTGGGGATTTAGTTCAGTGGTTCCGCTGCCTGCCTCGCAAGCATAAGGATCCAAGTTGGATCCTTGGTATCCAAAACAAAACAAACTGTCTACTTAGGCTGTGGTATATGCCATCTTAGATTGACTGTTGGTGTTAACCAGTTTGCTTTTTTGTCCTGGATGTACGTATTAGATATAAATGAGAAAAATAAATGTAACATCCTTAGAAACAACTGTTTAAGTTAAGCAGTCCCCGGCACAATTCTGAAATATTTTTAGACTACTTCCTCGTGCTTTGTTTTTGTAATAAAAACGTGTGTCAGATGTATAGATACTTTACATTACTATCTGCAGCATGTAAAAACTTTTGGTAGTAGATGAAATAACTGCCTCTCTTAGAAATGTTGAGTCATGTCCTTAATGATACAGCTGACAAGTTTTATTCTATCCACATAGAGTCATTGGTAATTGCAGAATGGATACCTTCAAAGGCAGTAACATTTATTGCAGGCAAATTCTGAACTTGGAGGAATTTGGTCAGTCGGACAGAGAATCTGGCAGAGAGATTTCCCTGGGATCTATACGACCATCAACGCCCACCAGTGGTCTGAGACAGTGCAGCCAATCATGGAAGCACTCAGAGGTAATATTTCTGTGTGGTCAAGAGTTACATTGGGCCACACCTGTTCCCTACATGCTGAAACGTTGAATAATTCTATGTGAGTTTTAACACATTCCTGCCAGCATGAACCACTGGAGGTCCAGGCATGACTGTCCCTTGCTACCCGATGGTCCTATTAGAAAATTGAAATGGCAGAAATGAAGAGAGGCTGGTGAAAGAACTGTTTCCTGTGCTGACACCAGCATGGCTGGGGCTGTGGCCATTCTCACCCCAGGCCCGCAGCCCAGATGAGGGCCGGGTGTGACTGGAGCGGCAGGGGCCGGCTGCCCGCAGGAGCTGGGGGTCCAGGCCAGCGGGAGTGAGGCAGGGAGGGCGGAGAGAACAAGTGTCCTGACCTGGGCTCCTGGCCACTGACCTCCCGGTGCAGCCCACCCACCAGCCAAGGAAGCCGCCCACAGTGCTGCTCTCTTGGCACCACCACCCCCCGCCCCCGTGCATCACAGCTTGGCTGGCAGAGAGGGTTGAGCACAGTGAGATGCCAGCCAGCTCTTCCTCTGTCCCCAGCACTGCCAGTGAGCGGTTCCCGGCAGGTGATAAGGCACAGAAGTATTTGTTGGGTGGCAGAGTTAGCATTCTGTCAGGGACTCTGTTTTCGAGGAGAATTGTTCCAGGGTACACAGACATTAGGTGGCAGGCTCCGTTGAGCCTGCCTTCCAGCATGGTATTGTTATGGGTTTCTCCCTGAGGTAACTGACCACACAGCCTGCGGGTCCCAAAGTGATGATCAGTCGCTCCTACCCCGTGGTTAAAAGCAGCCCGACTGCAGCAGCCTTTGCTGGTGCTGGGAATGCGGGGCTTCTTTTTTCCTTCCTTTGCCAGCCTGCTTCTGCCTCCCTGTATGTTCTCCTGTTTTCTGGTCGTAACGCTTTCTGCTTCTCTTTGCCCCTTCTGGTTCTCTCCACCTTTCTATTTCCCACTCTAGAAATCTGACCAGGATATTTGAACTAAAGTAAATGTGCTTAATATTGCAGGCTTGCCAGCTGAGTGTAGCTTATAATGTGCACTCTTACGTCCTTCTTCGTTGCTTCAGCTTCTCTCCGTGGACTGTCTCTAGCCTTCCATATGTGTGGGATGTTTTAGGGTCTGTTTAGCTAGGTTGTCTGCTGGGATGTGGAAGGAAGAGCAGATAATCGTGGCTCACTGAGACCTGGAGGCTGTCAGGCTCAGCAGGAAGTGAAGGGAGTGTAAGTGCCCATGGTTTTTCAGGAGTATGTGGAAACAAAGCTGAAGACGGGTCATGCACCACTTTGGTCCTGCCACATCGTCAGCGATCCTGTGCTTGGCACACACCTCACTGGACATGTATGCCACAGGCATTAGAAGATGCTTGTCACATTGGAATTACAAACAGTGATGCCATTAATGTAGAGCAGGCAGAGCTTGTCGTGGATTTCAGTGCTGTAGGGAGTTCATAAACAGACCAAGGAATAATAGCACAGAGGAAGGGTGTCAAGCCATAGAGCAGGGAAAACCAAAAGCCCCCGGTGTGAAGGGGTGAAACCCTATGTACTCTTGCGTGTCTGGTATGGAAAGTACAGTCCAGGATATTTCCACAGCATGTTGGCACACCAGTAGAGAAGCCCTTGTGTTTCCAAAAGTGCACCTGACTGGAAGGTGGGCTGGCAGGGCCCAATGGAGCTGTCTCATGCCAGAAGTCACTTCATGTAGCTATGCAAGCTCCCAAATGCTGTTTGGAGGGAAGTGTCTGTGGCTGGTGGCTGGCAGCCTCTTAATTGGAATCGGCCATTCAGGGTTGGAATTTAGGATTTTGAGCCTAAATGAAGGTAAGAGTTTGATGCAGACTTGGGAAATGAGGGGGCATGCTCTAGTTTTACGTTCTGTAGCTCCCAGCTGTGATCCCATAGTAGAGACCTTCCTGAGGAGAGATAGATTTACTAATCCATTCTTCCCAGTGTTTGTAAGTGAAAGACAAAACTAAAAGAAAAACTATATCCCAATGCATAAATATGTTTGTATCGTTCACCTTTCTGTTGCTGGGACAAAAACCTGATGTGTACAGTTTAAAGGAGGAAATGTTTATTTTGGCTCACGGTTTCAGAGGTTTTAGTCCATGGGTAGCTAGCTCCATAGCAGAAACATGGTAGAAGGGCCTGGTGGGGCAGAGCTCATGTCTGCCAGGAAATAGAACATGGAAGAGTCATAGAGTAAGGGCCGTGGACCACGTATAAGGGAGTCCCCATGGTCACACCCCTGTGGCCACCCAGCCTCACCCAGAGAGAGGTATGCTGTACTGACCTCCCAGGCATCTCTCAAGCTAACCAAGTTGACAGTCAGGATTAACTAGCACTGTATTTAGGTGCTAGTATTTCTTAGAGTTGGAGTCTTACGTATATTAAACTGCTTTTTAACTTTGTAACTTTGATTGCTGTCTGATCTCAGAGGAAATGTAAGAAGTGTATTTCTTTTTTGTTAGCAGTATTTGAGCCTCTTACATGTTGGGCACATCCATGTGTCTATAAGCACAGACATCACTGAGCTGAGCTGAGCTGAGCTGAGCTGATCCAATCTTATAAAACAGTGTAAGTAACTGTTCTTAACGTGCCTGCTGTGTTGTGTCCCCACCTCTCCCTGTGCCAACCCTCCACCTCCACAAAAGATGCGACGAGGCGACGCGCCTTTGCCCTGGTCTCTCAAGCGTACACCTCCATCATCGCCGATGACTTTGCGGCCTTTGTTGGACTTCCTGTAGAAGAGGCTGTGAAAGGTACTTCTGGTTTCCTCTTTACCCACAAGGAGTCAAAGGAGAGGTGCAGATTGCAGGCTCACAGAGCCTTCTCGGGAGCTCTCTCGAGCAGATGTTTTAGGGATTCGGGTTGTGTTTGCCTTCGGGGAAGGTGGCTGCAGCATGCACTACGTACCATCCCCAGGGCTTTTGGACAGCAGGCACCTCCTGGTCAAGCACACGAGTGGTTCTGCAGCAGGCAGATGCGTGTTGTCTGAAATAAGCCTTCCTCCACCCCGCTGCTCCCACTCGCAGGCCTTACCCACCTTGGCCAGTGAGGGAAGTCTCATCCCACAGCCCTGCTTTGCCCGTTCTTTCTCCCCACTCCTTGCTCGCACCTCAGGAGCCCGCCCCTCTCACCGGCTCTAGAATATTGCTTACCTGGTTGTATTGTGTTAGGGTGATTGACATTTTGGTTCTCTAAAATGTGGGCGCTGTCCTGCACCACATCTTGTCCTTAAATTTCTAGGCCCGCACACAATTTTAGACACATGGGAGAACGGGGTGATTGAAGTTTCCTTTTGGGAGGTTGTTGGGGATGAATCCAAGGCCTGGTGCATCTAAGGATTTTCTCTACCACTGAGCTGCGGTCCCAGCCCTGAAACTGATAAGAAGTTGTACTGTTCCTTACTCCTACGTTTGTTTTGGCTCTTCTCTTAAAATTGACCCTCCCTTTATTTCTTATATATACCCAGAGCCCATATTCTCAGCAGAGTGGGTGTGAATCCTGGTCACAACTAATCCTCCATGCTAGCTGTGTGACCTAGGAAACATCACTGGATTTCCCAAACTTCTTTTTTCCACAACAATTACATGAAAGTTGTATGTCCCATTTCATAGTTACAGTGGTTATATAAAAGGATCACTATAAAAATACCCATCATCTTTGTTAGTACTGATGTAGTTATAAAAGGCATCGTATAAATTTTCCTTATGTCTGGTTTACTGAAACTGATTTATTGAATACTTTCTGGAAAACTCACCCTCTGTTAGTGATTATAGCAACCTGATAGAGTACAGCAAAGCTTTACCATGTTCAGAAATATTTCAAAAGTAAGTTTACATGTTCTCTGTCATATTCGCATGCTATCCTTGTACCTTTCTAGTACAGATCTCCCTGACAGGTTGAACTAAGCCTGTCACATCTCCCGTGTAAGTTATGTTGTGGAGATTGTGGAGCTTTTGTGTTTGTTATTCACCGTTCCGTGAAATCCACATTTCTAGGTATCTTAGAACAAGGATGGCAAGCGGACTCCACCACAAGAATGGTTCTACCCCGAAAGCCAGGTAGGGGGCGCTCTTTATCCATTGCTGTAGCACCTACTGCTTCAGGTTTTCAAGCCTTGCGTTTGAATAATTTGTTACTAAACAGTGGAAGTAACTCACATTTTAAATATATAGAATGTGGACCCTCAGGGCAAAATGCTCTCAGAAGTCACATAGTTTTACTTTAGTCTCTAAAGGTGTATTTCTTCTATAAAAGACCTTGGTATGTTGGTGTTTTGTGGTCCTTATTACTACTTAATTTTTGCTGTGTGTTAATCTACCATCATTTTATTCATGGAGCCATTTCTTATCCTTAAGATCTAAACTACTGGCCTTTAAAGATTAAGTCTTCAGCTCTTCTCTACCCTTGTGCCGAGTCCTGCGGGCACTTTCCTGTGACTCACTTGCACAGGACTGACTGCTCTTGCCTTCCTTCAAGGCCCTATGCCCTGTGACTTGTTCCTGAGGTTTCAATTAAAATTCCTAGCCCCTCTATCTTTTCGGTTTTGGGGGAGTTGTTATTGTGGTGGTTTGAGATGTCTCACTGTGTGTGTCAGACCACCCTAGAGCTCAGAATCCTCCTGCTTCAGCCTCCTGAGTGCTGGGATTACAAGCATGTGGCTTAGCCCCCAACTTGTTCACCAGAGTGAGCCATGCCCCTTCCTGCTTGCTGGTTTTTCTGCCTCCTGCTTGCCATGAGTCCCTCTTTTGCCCACAGCGCCCACACCCATAGCCTCTGCGAGACAATCCTCCTCTGTGTGATGCCGCCGTGCTCAGCCCTGTGAGGATGCAGAGAGCAGCAGGACATGGCCCAGGCCACTGTGGACGCCGAGGGAGGGCCACTCATCCCACAGGCAATAGAGTTAGATGGCTGTGAACGTGCATCACAAGAGAACATGCTGAACGGTCTTGCCGAAGACTTACGTAATTTGTGCTCTTTTGTTTTAGTTGCAGGGGCTCTGGACGTTTCCTTTAACAGAATTATTCCCTTATCAGGTATATATTTTCACTTTTAAAATGTGACATTGTTTCTCCTGTGTGTATCGTAAGTTTAGAGTCATAGGTCCAGTTACAAGCTAGAAGCCGTGGGCTGACCCATAGGCCACCTGACGGCAGCTCTCCAGCACCTGTGTGCCATCGTGCAGGGCCCTGCCAGAACCTGTGCCCCTGTTTAACGGCAGGCATCCTGAGGCTGGCACAACGTTGGTAACAACGCCAGCATGTGACCTCCGAGGATGCGTTCTCATGTTGGTTTTTCCACTGGTGGTGTAGGTGTAGCATTCTCCACACGGAGGCACTCGGGGCTTACTCCTTGGATTAAATGTCCCAAGGTCAGGACCTTCCCAAGAAGAGCCATTATCTCCTAAAGGAGCCTTTTCCCATTAAATGTGTTTTGAACTGTAATAGAGAGTACTCCACTGACAGTGTCAGGCGTGCTTTGCGTGCACTTAGAGAAAACCATGCTCCTAAAAGTGCAGACTATTTGTGTGTTTCAAAGATGCCCAGGAGATACGAAGTTTGTCTGAAATCAGGTAATTCTAAGAAATTACCTTGTTAAAATCAAAGGCATTGAGGAGGTGGGTGACAGGACAAAGCCTTGTAGTGGTGGTGTCTTAACTTGAACTCTCTGTTTCACCTGCAGAGCCCGCCCCAGTTCCACCGATCCCCAATGAGCAGCAGTTAGCTAGGCTCACCGATTACGTGGCTTTCCTTGAGAACTGACTTATCGTTGAGTTCAAGATCCACCTTCAGAATCCTGTACACTGACAAATAGAGAAATGTAAAATTTTTATTTTCAATTTACTGGATGGATTAAACACCTCGGCATTCCTTACGGAATATGTGATAAAATACATATATAATATAAAGTATATTATATATATTTTATCCTTAAGCATTATGCTGAATAGTGAGGCAGTTCTCATTTTGTAATATATAACGATTTGGCTGGTGCTGTCAGTACTACGCAGCTAGTTTGTATTCCCAGGTGACTTAGGAATAAGTCTCCTGCCCCAGTGCACACCGCACTCCCATCTACACCGGAGTGGCTGGCGGTAGTGCTGCCTCTGGGTCTGGAGGAGGACTGTCCCCGGGGCAGCACCCTAATTGCTGGGAGTGTGATCAGCCCTTGGGAGAATAGGCTCTTATCCCTGGCTCCTGAGAATCACTGAGGTAGAGTACTAAAATGTAGCTGAGGAGCAAATAAACACTTCCTGAGTAAACCAGTTTGTCACCATTACAGTTTTCCAGTAGTATGAGTATATCCATTGCTAGCAGAGGAGGGCTTGCTGTGCAAGTGCAGCTTAGGGTTTTGATGAGAGGTGTGAAGTTCTACTATCCTGTCTCTGAGGAAAGGACAAGTTAGGTGTGGAATGCATTATGTGGGGAAAGACGCTTTTGAGAAAAGTGATATACTCTGTACAGCTCCCCTGCCACCTGTTGATTGCCTCTATTTTCCTTCGTTTCAAGTTCTACCCTTTGAAGAAGTGCTGAACAAGTCTTCATTCTTTGTGTGACAGCCCTCTGAATGTTTGAAGTGACTGTATTTTCAGATTAAAATACCCCTTAGATCATTTATTCTGCATTTGTTCAATAAATATTTAATTGAATTTTTGAACTATCATCTGAGGTGGTTTCTAGAAATTTCGCTGTCTTGGTGTTTCTATGGACACATTCTAGTTTGTCTCCACCTCTCAGAATAAGAATTTCTTAATCAAATAAAAATGACCTGTATTATGAGTTTGGGTAGTGATACAGAGTTTGTTTTTGTTCACTTTATTGGCTGTTGTCCGTTTTTTTTAACATATATGGAAATATCTTTTCAGTGTCCACTTTATTTAAATCTGATAAGTAATATTGTTTAAACTTATTTTATAAATGAAGAAATGGAAATTTAAGAAGCCAGGAGGTCAGTAGCAAGAGTGGCGATGGGAGTTTGTAACTTCCGTGTATTAAGAACAAATTGAATGCCTGCCTGGCAGATTAGGGTCAGCCCAAATGTTCAGTGAAGGGAGTGTTTGAACAAGACAGTTTTTGTGTCAGGTACTCTGACTGTCAAAGGAGTGAAGATCACCAGAAGCTCACATGGAGAGACCTCCTGAGTGAAAACAAATCACAAGTCGCTCATGTAGTGACTGCGGGGAACAGAGGGAGAGTGATCGCAGTTGTGGATGCAGACACGTCTGTTTCTATTTCAGCAGCAACAGCTGAAGGATAAACCAAAGACAAAAATGGTTCTGTAGAGAGAAAGAAGACAGTGCACTACATAGAGAAGAAGGAAGTCTTGACTACTGAATATGGTTTTGTGGTTAATTTTACAAAATAATCTTGCGTTACATTAAAAGTACGTTCTAGACTAAAATTAGTAATTATGTAGCATTTTTAGAAGTGAGTAATCTTAAATTTGACCTTGAGACTTATGATTTACTTTTTTTTTGTAAACACTAAATATTTCTTAACCTATCCAACTGAAAATGCCTAATTCTAATTCAGAAGTAACAAGCACCACTAGTACTAATTGTGGTGCCTAAATTCCATTTTTACCTAAAAGGAATAAGAAATTATTTGCACAATTGCAAATACTTGGTCCAGGGCTACAAGGTGATGTAGTTCATCCCAGATCAAGGAAGCTTTCAAAGACCCAGGCTTCTGTCAAAAGGTGGTAGAGAAGCCAACTTGGAAGGGCTCTCACTGGCCAAAAATGAGACAGTTTGGGCATGAAAAATTAAATGATTTTTATCTTTTTAACTACACCGAAATAGCCTCATGATTGTACCAGAAGCGGAGGATGAGTGCTTCATTTCACTTCTTACATACTTGTTGGGCTTTGGAGCAACAGGTTGATACACCAGCAATCTCCAAAGCAACAAAAGAACCCTAGAAGATGATCACAATATGATGGAAAACTCTTTATGGAAGAATTTCATCTAATAAGATGGAAAATAGCACTTTGAAACGCACCTAGGAAACAAGCTCCAAGACCATGGAGACAAAATGGAATTGAATATAAAATGTGTCCAGCATAACCATCAGCCCCTCTTGTGCCCTGGCTGTTTCTGAAGCAAGCAGCTGCCTGCCAGTGTAGACAGCCTGCACCCTGCTGCAGGTCCGTTGCATTGTGTGGAGACACTTGGCTGCACCTGGGGCAGTTGTCAGCCAGGCACCCAGATGCGGGTCATGGCAGTGCCCTCCCCACTAGCCCAGGTCCTGGCCAGCTGTAGAAACCTGGGCCGGGGAGCGGGGGTGCTCCTGCCTCAGAGGAGAGATGGCGGTGGTGGAACGTGCCTGAAGCTTCTGCTCCTAGGTTGAAGTACTTTGAGGCTCACAGTTGTGCCAAGAGCTACAGAAGATGAGTTCTTGGGCTGGGGATTTAGCTCAGTGGTTTCCCTGCCTGCTGCGCAAGCGCAGGGACCCGAGTTCGATCCCCAGTACCAAAAAAAAAAAAGATGAATTCTTACAATAATCCCTTAAAAGGCGTTAGCCTTTAGAGCATCAAGGGGTAGAGAAGCTGAGATTGAGAGGACGGAACTACAGAGAAATCACCGGCAGCAGTCCTGTCAGGGGCACGTGCTAGTTCTGTGTAGCAAGAGCAAGGCTTAGGCCGGACATCATTCCATGCTGCAAATCTAGCAGCCCGTGGGGTTTGGGCACCTTTAGGGGTCAGGGTGACAAACAGGAACCTGACAGGGCTAAACTGCCTGCGGTTTGTCCTGCAAGACACCTGGGGACCTCAAGCTGCTTGGGGTAGGAGGCTAGAACTCCATAGACTTTGAGAAACATCCTGGTTTTCCTCCCATTTTGTTGTGCCTAGGGCTCCTTTAAACACAAAAAGCTGGAGGTTGTGGATGCCTCTAAGTGTGAACCAGAGGTAGAACATAGTAAAACTGCAACTGGAAAGCAGTTGAGTATAAAATATTCTCACTGAAACAGCAGAGTGGAACTTAATGGGAGAGAATGTTAGAGACGTGATATACAGCACTGATCTGTCGTCTCTTCGTTGGAATCCAAGGGGGCAAGAGAAAATAAGAAAAGAAGTACTAGGAAATACTGAACCAGAATTTTCCAAAACTGATGAACACCCACAGAATGTAAATGCAAAGAAAATCACACCTGTATTCATAGAAAAACTACTGAAAACCCACGACAGAATTCATTAAAAGCACAGGGCAGGCTGTGGGACATTCTTGTCCATCAGGAATAAAGCCAATGAAATGGCATCTGTAGTGTTGAAAGAACAAAAATTCTACCTCCCACCTCCAGAGGTTCGCTTCTGATTTTCCTGGGTTGTTATGTTTAAAAGTTGGAGGGGATGGAGATGTAGCTCTGGTTCTGCTGCCTGCCTCACAAACACAAAAAAAAAAAGAAAGAAAGTTGGAGAAAAATGCTACTGCAGCTTTGGTAATATTAAACAAAGTAGACTTCAAGGCGTGACAATTTTAGACATGGAAAAGTGTTGGGGTCTCCTTGGTGGAAGACTGGAACCTGAAGACAGTATCCGACAAAACTTATAAAAAGAGCACGGGGAACCAGAGCTCCATGAGGAATTAAGGCCAGGTTTATTGTTAATATTCTTCTTTTATACATTTTCCAGCAGGATACGTCAATTGTTAACAATTTACAGTGCTAGTCAACTAACCACCAGTTATATCTGAGTACAGAAACATCTAAAGAACCATCTGTGTTCCTTTAATCTTCTTTAATCTTATGCATCTTATCTAAATCATCTTGGTTACTTAAAGCTTCTAAAGGATTAACTACCCTTTATCTACTCTTATGCCAAGAAAATGTTTGACAGTCTCAAGGGACCGCAGCAGAACGAACACTGGGAGTAACAAACAGCCTTCTGAAGTTATCTTTAACTTCTCTACCTGGGCCTGCCACAGACAGCAGGACAGTCTGTCTCCCCAAGGCCATCCAAGGGCCCGAGAACGTCTCACATCCTCCACAGAAAAGTATGTTTAATGAAAAGGTTTGCACTCCTTGTACTGGTTTCCTATTGCTGCTGTAACGTTAGCACAAAATTAATGATTTAAAACATGGATGTAGCATCTGACAATTCTGCAGTCAGAAGTCCAAAATCGGTCTTGCCTGGCTACTACCATCAACTTACAAATAAACCAACAAAACTGAAAGTTGGGGCTTTGAAAAGTTAACAAAATTGATAAATCCCTATCAAGACTAATGAAAAAATGAGAAAGCACAAATTATACATACCAATAATTAAAAAGTAAAAATTATTAGGATATTGTGAACAATTTTATGCAAATGTGAAATTTTTAAATAAATGGACAAATTCTTTGAAGATGCAGCTTAGCAAAACTAAAAATGAATCTTAACACTCTCACCTGTTAAGGAGAGTGGCTTGGTTACTAAACTCTTCCCTGCAAAGACAACACCAACCACGTAGAGGGTTTTCTGGAAAGTTTGTCTATGCATTTACGAGAGAAACAGCAATAATTTTGTACTAATTTTTCCAAATAAGAGAATAGGGCAATTGCCAGTTGATTTAATAAGGCCAGAATATTATAAGAAAATTATAAACCAATACACTCAACACAGATATGAAAATTCACAGTAAAATATTAATTCAAATCCAGCAAAATTTCAAATGACTATATTATGACCTGGTAAAATTTATTCTAAAGTTGAAAAAGCAGTAAAATTCATTGCATTACAAAGTAAGAATTACATTAGAAAATCCGTAAGAATCATTTGCCACATTTACAGAACAATGGAGAACAATCATACAATGCAAGAAAAATGCTTGAAAAAATTCAACACATGATAAAAACTCACTTAATAAAAGAGAATGCCAATTTTTTCTAATAAGAATAGCTAGGAGAAACTGACAGCAACATCCACATAATGGTGGATTATTGAGTGTCCCTCAGATAGGAGACTGAGGTCTAGACCAGAAGGCCTGCTGTCAGCGCCTGCATTCAGAGTTGTCCTGCAGATCCTCCTAGTCAGTGCATTAAGGCAAGAAAAACAAATCAAGTGCTCTCTGTAGAAGGAATTTCAGATTTTTGCAGAGACATCTGCTGAGTCTAGCTGACTAATCCAGTGATTTGTAGAATGATATCCCATGAAGCAGGCAAGAATAACATCCAAGGAAAGAACAATTACTGGAAAACTACAAAGAACAGTTTAATAAAGAGCTAGGAATCATCTAAGATCTTTCCACCCAGAGTGGAAAGACCTCAGTGAATAAATGAGGCAACCACTAGGGGCTCCAGGAAGGTCACGCCCCAGTAGTGAACCAAATTAGCCTAAAATACAGGCAGTTATAGATCCTTGATAGAAGAATTTAAAAGAGCTTCATGGGGTTGAGGATTTAGCTCTGTGGTGCCACCCCCTGCCTCGCAAGTCCAAGGTCCTAAGTTTGATCCCCGGTACCAAATAAATAAATAAATAAATAATAAATAAAAGAGCTTCAAAACAGCAAAAGTCACAAGTTATAAAACTGGCTACCAGGAAAAGCGCAAAAGCTTTGGAGGTATATTTCAAAATAGCCCATTCAAAACATTTATGGTATTTCTGTCAAAAACTTGACAATATGTCCTTATCCACCCTGTTCACTGCATCTGGCACCATGCAACTTCTGGATCTTCACCAAAGTCAAAATGACCACAAAAGGTAAATGTTTTCAATCAGTTAAGGACATATTGCACAACTAAAGACACTCAGAAAAGAAGACTTCCAGAGCTGCTTCAGAAAGTGGCAAGAATGATGGGGTGAGTATGTTCGAAATGAGG